CAACAGGTACTCAACGTGAAGAAAAAATAAGAATAAATTCTGAAAAATTACCATCATTAATTGATTCATTTGAACATCCTGTTCAAGAAGGAATTTATTCACGAAAACAAGATAAAAAATATCAACAACAATCAATAGTAAATGGTCATGATTAATCAGGTCTTATACCGGTGATTTTATGGTGACAATAAAATTTCTTATTTTCTATATTCGGGTTATATTCGAGCGATTTTTCATATTTATTTTTCGAATCTATGTGTGATGGGATTATGACAATCAAGTATTTATTTTAATAAAAAAGTCAGGGTTTTTAAAAGAATTATTATTCAAAATGAAAATATCGATTAATTAAGGTTAAATCAAATAATGAAATTAGTATATTATTTGAAGTAAATATCACATATACTTTATTTTAATTTCACGGAGTGATAAATTGACAATTAATATAGAAATTTAATTTTTATCTAAAAATCGAATTGATTGTATTGATTTAAAAAAAACGATAGCCATAATATTTAAAGTAAGTTTATTATTAAATAAAAAATGAGAATGATTTTATAAAATCTCGCTTAATTGATCTTTGAAAAAGATTTTCATTTAAAAATCTTACTTTAATATCCGAACTTAGCTCAGTTGGCAGAGCGGTAGGCTGTAATGGATTATTCTCGTAGAAACCTATAGGTCCCCAGTTCAAATCTGGGAGTTCGGATTTCCCCTTTTTTTTTGTTTTTTCTTTCCATTAATGTTTATTTACCTGATACTATGTCTATATCATGCATGAAGAAATATTATGAATCATTTTCTTTTCCTTTCTAAACATGCTTCTATTGCTATTCGTACTCAATTACATATTTATATTGATCAGTTATCTTATTCAGTATCATTTAATATATTGAAACAAATGTGTTATTAGTCGATTCTATTTAATTTTATAACTGTACATGATATAATGAATAAAATCAATGAATTCTTTTTTTAAAATGATATTCAATAATATATTACAATACAAAATAAAAACAAAACTTCAAATATAAAAATAACTTTCTTTATTCATCAAAACACATTAATTGAAAACAATTTGTAAAGTTTAAGAACATCGTCGTTCAACTATCGTTCTAGTATTCTCATTTTGGTTTAATCGCATACTTTTTCCCATAATAAAATAATAATATTTTATAATAACTCTTTTCAGTTGTTTTCGAAATGATGGT